TCAGGAATGTAATTTACCTGAGAGTCCAGCTGCAGGCGGCCTCCTCACCTGGGAGGGAAGCAGAAGAGCAGCAGAGGAACACGTCTGGTTGAAGGTTTGTCTGACAGTCACAGGAACACATGTTGATGTTTCCTTACTGGGTTTAAACCAGCAGCGTCATCTAGGTTTCATGACTGGGATGTTTGGGAGATTCCTCCAGAAGAAAACAAGCCGTCACCATGACAACCGGCCCATATCAGTCAGATGTTTGTGTTTCTGTCTCAACTGTTGCTGTCGACCGACTCGTCGTCTCGGCTGCAGGGATCCGGTTTTACTCTGAGGCCTCGGAGGAAACCGATTGGATCAAACTTCTAACCAGAAGCTAACCAGTTCATACGGATCCCCAGCCAGCCGGACTTCGCAGGATCCGAAACATCGGACCTTTCCCGCTGGTTCTTACAGATGATGAGGGGGCGGTAATATGTCAGAAACTATCGGACAATTTCAACGAGCATTTAAAGCTCCAATGTTTCGGGATTTCAGGGATTTACCGACAGAAACGTCATCAAGCTTTATGTTTGCGTTACCTTAGAAACCGCTGTTTATAATGACATAGCAGTGGGGGGGGGGGCGTTTCTACGAGATTGCAGCAGACAATCTGCAAAGGTAACGTGTCCCCGTGGCGCTAAGGAGCCACAGCAGGAGCTCAGGAGGAGAACTGAGGAGCACAGCGTTGGATCGGAAAAGCCTGAAGCGTTGAAGGCGGCGGAGACGCTACGACTGACCCAGGAAGTAACTAGAGACAGTAGAAGCAGGACGCTGAAGGTGATGGAGAGTCTAAAGCTGACTAAGGTGTGTCCTCTATAGACTCACCTGTCCAACCAGGCCAGCAGACTCTTGGCGGCGGCGATCAGCTCCACCACGGCGCTCAGGAACTCGTTGGAGGGCTGATGGGAGCTCTTGTTCTGGTAGGCCGGGTTCTTCCTGCGCTGCGCCACGGCGCTGCTCAGGTTGTGATGCGCCGTCCTCATTTTACCCACCAGGGTCTTCAGACAGTCGGACTCCACGCCGTGGTTCTGTTGGGAAACAAGGACAGGTGACCGGGTTGGAGACAGCTGATTGGACGGACAGTGGCGGCCAAATCAGGGGGTTTGTTTTTGTTCCAATTAAAGCTGAACGTTGGGCAGAACCGCCGGATGTCGTGAACGGTCCGATCTTCTCACTGCGTAGACCTTCTGATGAGGTCCACCCGCTTCTGAACGCTTCAGGTGTTCTGATGGTCCGACGGACTGAAAAAGTCCAGCGGAGCAGCAGGAACATCAGGACAGCCTGAAGCTTCCAGGATGGAGGTCCAGTGACGTGCAGAGGGGTGGGGGGCCTCTCCAACGGCAGGGAGGGGCCCCATCTGTTTCCTGCTGGCCGAGTCCAACAGGAAATCCATGTGGAACGCACGCAGCAGACCTCTGATTGTTTCAGGTCCGATTTGACAGAAACCTAACGAGCTCAGAACCAGACGCTGGGTTAGACCGGACCTTTTCAGAAAAAAAACCCTGATCAGATGAAACCAGAGCTCAGAAGAAGACATGTCAGTTAAAACGGTAAAAAAAAAAAAAGATTTCTTCTTTCAGCTGGAAAACAATCAGACACGTCTCTGTTGTTCTGCATTTATCCAGCACTGGCTCCGCCCCCAAGACATGAAGGCGATAAAAAAAAAAAAGATACTTTTTCTGTCTTGTGTACGAGGGTTGCACAATCCGTGCAGCACAAAGCACTTTCTAGAAGCTCAGTGCTGCCGTTTAGAAAATGATGTCTACCTGCCGCGTTTCTACCTGGAAACTAAACATAGGAGAACACCAAGGCCTACGGAGGGCTAAAAGGAACAAAATTTAATAAATCAATGTGCCATTAAATAATTAAATTTATAATTAAAGTCATTTCATAATAAATTCATGTAAGTATACGTTTCATTTAATTATTTCCATCTTTATTTAGTTAGAATATTATTGCAACTTATTATAAAATAATTTAAAGCGTCAACTTTATTTATTAAAACTCAATGGGCGGGACTAGTGAGGCTTCCAGAGAAACCCTGATGTCTGATTGGTTGATTCTCCCCGAGCAAAAAAAGTCTTCCTGCTTTTCTTTTACTCTAAATTCACTATTATCACCAAAAAGGAAATAAATTACTTTAAAAAAACATGTTGAAATATATTAACCGCTCGGATTTATTTGTAAAAATGAGCCGATATTTAATATTTTAAACGGAATGTTTAATTATTAATGGACTATTTTTATTTTAGATTATTTCACCATAGATTTATCTGTTTAATTTCCTCCCTAAAGGCAGCAGAGAAGCTGAGTGATGCAGAGCAGAACAAGCTTTGGATGAAGACGGCAGAAAAACCTGAATGATGACTAATAGAATAACGTTCGTTACCGGAAAGAATCCCTGAGTGGGAGGTTTACTCTCATGAGAGGCGGCGGCGGCGCGCTGAGAGATGATAAACCGTAGGAATTTATCTGAAGCAAACATTCCTCTAACTAAAGTTCAAGCAAAGCATCTCGTCCTAAAACAGATAAACATGTTAAAGGTTCCTCAGATCAACACGTTGCTGCAGATTCAGCTGTAAACAGACAAGTTTACTCAGTAAATAAAACTCTAAGCAATCCTCCCTCACAGATCAGCTACAGCTGATTCTAGACACACAGATCTAGAGTTTTAAAAGGTGTAGGGTTATTACAATAACTTAGAAAATAATTTTTTAAATAATTAGTTAAAAAGATCTAATAAAATGTTTTAGCATAATTCAAATAAAGAAACTTTTATTTTTTAATTCTCACTTGATTGGAGAAAATGACAGAAATGAGCTTAAAGCCTTTAGGAGAAAAAAATAACAGAGTTTAAAACATTTTATCAGACGGAAAAAGAGAAAATCAGATGAAGTTTATTTTAAATGTCACTAATTTGTTTTCCTTCAGTCCTAAACTTAAGAGATTTTTATGGAGTGAATTTATTTCCATTATTGTTGAAAGCAAAAGACGCATTCTGTCAATGCAAATTTGAAAAAAATATTTAATCCCGGAAAAAAAAATGGAAAAAATTAAAAACTTTCAATCGAAAAAAAAAAAAAATTAAGTTCAGAGAATAAATTTGCTGTGAAAAAAAAAAAAAATTAAGTTCAGAGAATAAATTTGCTGTTTTCTCAGATTGTATTATTTCTAATTAGTTAAGTGCAATTTAGCAACAGAATAAAAAATAGATAAAAATCTGAGAAAATAAAACTTTGAAATCTAACGTTAAAATTATTATTTTTTTAAATGTTAAAAAAAAAAACAGCAAGAAATTTATTATTTTATTATTTCCATTTACAGAACATGATCTTTGCATGGAGCAGTAACAGAACAAAATTTATTTTTATCTTTCCCTCCAACTGCTAATAAAATATTAAAACCAAGTAAATTTTCACATTTCAGTGCGAATAAAATCTTTTTTTTTTTTTTAAGTCGTAGGGAAGCGGCTGTTCCAATGGTTGCAGTTCCAAATTCTCCAGACTTTACACGAGTGAATAAAGTGAATGTGATTGGTCGTTTATCAAGGGGGCGGGATTGTTGTGGTGGAAGGTTCGTAAGCAAGTTTGGTTGTGGCCGGTTTGTTGGAAGCATCTTGCTAACCAGTTAGCATCTTAGTGCTAGCAGGTTCCCAATGGGAAATTCCATTGGGACCAAGTAGCACTAAATTGGTGACTTAGAAACGACGCTGTCAAGGAACGCTATGGACAGA